GTCGAGTTAGATACTTGTTATAGCATAGTCTTGAGTTCTCGTCCTCTGATAGCTTTTAAGTAGTTTATCTAGCAGTCAGTACCATCTAGAAATCACATGCTAAGTAGTTGAGCTGATGCAAATAAGTGAATGATCATGTGCTTAATAAGAAAAAAAAAGACAAAAAGACAAAAAGTGAAAAAGAAAAGACAGAAAATTGTTTAATTCTAAATTGTTGAGAAAAAAAAATAGATCATAGTCGCTAACAAGCTCCGGGAATCCATTTGAGGCATTCTAAAAATCGCCAGAAAGTTAAGAGAGAGAGAGAGAGCTGCGACTTTCATGTTGGAGCCAAAGTCAGATTCGGAGCACAAAATTCCAGAATTCCGTTTGAAGCTACAACATTAGAAATTTATTTCGTGTTGGGTCATGTTTTGGGTCTGGGTTATATTTTTGACCCAGTTGGGTTTTGAACCAAATCCATTATTTGTATTTTAAAAGTAAAACTCGTGTTACTATTCACGTTGGTCACTATTCACGAAAATATTGTTGAAAGCTTGTAAACTCATGGAGAACTAATCCTCTTTGGACGGATTCACTGTACTCAGGTTCAAACTTTGAGATTGTTATGATATTTACAATTTAATTTATGTTCCTTTCAATTATATCATGTGATTGTTGTTTGCTTGATCCAATTATTATATAGTATATTTGGTTTAGTTTGATTTATCCGTGTTCTTAATTTTAATCGTAGATTAACTCTGCTTAATTGTTAATTTGCGCTATCATTTACCGTATGCTTAATCCAGCGATAGGAACATGTTCTCATAAAATCAACCACGCTTGTTGACTGATTTTTTCATCAAATAGGATAGAAGTCCCGTTTAGGAAATTGTATTTTCATCTGTCGATGATTAGTAAGAACCGAGGCAGTGGATCCGTTACTTTAATCACTTATTTCACAACAGCTTATTTCAGTAATCAATTATTTAAGTGCTTTTTCTTTGTTAATCAGAAACCTAAACCAACCCCCCATAATTCGTTACTGTAATTGATTATTCCTACAATAATCCTTGTGATACGACTCGAGTTACTGTCGCTATATTACCATTTCTTACGACCAACTCGTTTTTGATCCGCGAGCGACCGCGGATCAAGGGGTCCGATATACACAGTAGTATAATATCTGCATTGTAGATTATGGATTGTAGATTATGGATAGTATTATTGTTTATAATTTGTTATTTTTACGGTATTTTCGATTCAAGATTTATTCATTTATATATGGTATGTTCATCTTAATAGATTTGTGCATGCTTTAATCGATAAAATGCACTTTTAGTCCCCTTTGTTTGATGTCTTTTAATTTTTAATCCTCTAAATTTAAAAATCAGTTTTTTAGTCGTTGAACTTTACCTTTCTTGAGATTTTGTTGGGCCCCCTTCAACGGCAATAACGATTAGGAAGAAAAAATTTGAAGACATGGCAATGATGATTAAGAAAAAAAATATTTTAATGAATTGACAATGATGACTAAGATAATTTATTATTTAATTTTTTTTAGAGAATTAATTAATAATTAACAATTTTTTAAAAAAAAATAAAGATTTATTAATCCAAAAACTTATATGTAAAAACCAACCCATATGGTCCATCTAAACACCACCAAACAAAACATGTGGAAGACAACAAACCCACTACCTATGCTCCCTAAGTTTGGGTTTTGTCCACAATCTATGACTAAGAAATCTATAATTCTTTGGCATATATTTGTATTATTTACATTGTTTCCACAAACCTTTTGATTCTTGATTTTTTTTTGTTGTTGCTAAAATAGCACAGTAAAATTTTAAATCAAACCAATTTTTTTGAAAAATTGGGTTTTCATACCTGCGTCACGTAAAGGCCAAAACAACAAGATTACAGGGGCCAATAGGCAAGAACACAATACCTATGAGTCTAAAGTTTGTTAAAATTAACAAGAATCTCCGACAACAACGTCAATTTGGTATGCTGTTACACACGGGTCAAAAACAAGTAAATAAAAATTGTAGTGTAGAGAAGCGACACTCAAGAGTCGTATAACAAAGACTCTAGGATGATTCTTACCAACGACTAGAACAAAGGGGGAGGTTAGGTTTCAATCACGATAGCGATAAAAAGTAATTGATTCCAAATAAGCTAAATTGGTTAATCTATTGATTCAGGTTCCGACTTATCATTGGTCATTATAACTCCAATCCTCTAAGCGAATTCTCTATTCCAATTCAATCACAGTGTCAATCAATAAGTGTGAATGATACTATAAGAATTATATTCCTGATTACCGTATTAAGCATACGGTTAAAGATTAGGCGAAGCTAACAAAGAAGCTAAGTTAACACACGATTAAAATTAGGAACACGCATATATCAAATCAAATCAATATACTCTATGAAAATCGAATCAAGCATACAAGAATCACACAATAATATTGAACGGAATAGAAATTGGATTGAAATTATTATAACCTCAAAATGCGATGGAATCCATAATCATTCGAATTTGCTTTTGAAATTAGTTCTCCATAAAATCGTACAAAGTTAATTTTTATCAAAAAAATTCAGAAGGAATGAACTGTAGCGGCTTACTTATGTTAAACAAAACAAGAAATTCAGATTCTAATTCAAATCGGGTCAAAAAACATAAAATCCTAGTCCAAAATTAATTACTTTCTTATGTCTGTAGCTAAAACGAATTATTTGACCCTTATGTATTTTGAATCAGCTTTTGACTTCAACACAAAATTTATAGTGTATCCCCTCAACTTTTTAACGCATATTAGAAAGTATCAATCTGATGCTCGTAACTCAAGTTATGACTTACACAATGAAAACGTGTAAATAACTGTTTATTTAAAAAATAAATAACTAAATAAAAATAAAAAACAAAAATAATCTAAACTTGAAAAAAATATTTAAAATAATAAAAATGACAAGATAAACTATAGAGTTATCCTAATATAATAGTAGACGAGTGTGCATCAAAATACACCGGCCACCTTTTTCATTTTTATACTTCCAATATTCATATATGAGTGTGCAATCCTAAGGATTTTTGTTTTCCAATTTTTACTCTTTATTGGAGTAAATCACCTCATTCAACTCCTGGGTCCATTCCCTTGGACTATGCACCACCTGTAGAATAACTAATCATTTTAATTAAGTATTTTTAAAATTAATTAACACAAATTTTAAAAGAAATGGTCTTAAGTCTATAATATAGATATTTTTAATTTATGTTAATTAATTTTAAAAAAAATATTAACTATAAATATTAATTATTAATTATTTTTATTTAAAAAATATTAAACAATAAATTATCTTAGTCATTATTATCAATTCATTAAAAAAATTCCTAATCATCAATGTCATATCTAAAAAATTGGGTTTGAGTATTCCCCAATTATAAAATATGGATATAGGTCGGGTAATGGAGACACTAGTATCCATCCTGAATCCGTCTCGTTTATTTTATTATATATTTTATTGTTTTAGTTTTGATCATTTAGAATATTACATATCTGATTAATATTTTAATATTTGATTTTATTTAAAATATTTAAAATTTATGCGACTGAATAGATAATGATTAGACGGAGATATCCAAATCCGTTTAAGATGAGTTTGAGTTTTAATACTCTATCTCTAATAAGGATTAAGGTGGAGAACGTTGATTATTTTGAGATTTAAATTTGAGTTTAAAGAAGATAAAAATTGTCTCTGCCCCGCCCCGTTATCATACTTACATCATATTAGAAAGGATCAAAATTACATTTAAACTTATCAAAATTACATTTAAACTAAAAGTTTATTATGATCATATAGTTATAATACATGACCGGTAGTTTAAAAAGAAAAAAAGTCAAATTTTAGATATAATATATGCATATTTGGTTAAGGAAATGCATCTCCAAGCTAAAACAAAATGAGATGTGACTTAGTAACAAATGACTAGAGTGCATATGTAATTATTTTAGAGACCCAGACCAAATTATGTCAAAACTAAAAAGTAGTGTCCAATTACGCATTGATTTGGTGTAAAAGGGTGCATTCATAAAATATACTTCCAAAATTAAAAAAAGAAAATTGAAAAGGCATTTTTGAATTTTTAAAGGGTGTTTCTCCGCACCAACCGTGGGAGGTAACCCCCACTTTAGAATCGATAATTGATTATGTCATTTCGACGATGTGAATATAAATACACATAACCCGACACTAGAGGCATGCTTTAAGTTCAACCAGACATTATGCAATTTTGGAAATTAGATTTTTGCATATGCTTTGGTTTCTTAGCAAGAAACACATGTTGCACCGATGCAGTAAAATATAAACTTAAGCAAAATAGTGATTTAATCAAAACAAGTTAATAAAAGAGAATTCAAACACATTTTGAAAATCAAATGACTCTTCACTTAATAAGAAATCTAACCAAAGCTACAATACAATTAGCTTTTAGTCTCAAACATGTTGATATCTCAATCTCTTAATATTTTATGCAAACAATATTGTTTTCACTTTGGTTCTCTGTATTCCATTACATTGATTTCTAATCAAATGATTTTTGAATGGAGCAATATGAAATAGGAATCATGTTTGATTAATTAATGAGAATAATTGTGATATTAGAAAGAAAGAAAAAAAAGTTAGATAACAGTGTAGAATATTTTTAAAGGAACATAACAGTGAATGCTTGACAAGTGCTTGACAAGTGTATTGTTATTCTTATTCATTTATGCCCAGTAAACATTTTTAAAATGGAGATATGGTTTGGACTTTGGAATATATAACAAAGCATATATCAACGTGATAGCAAGACAGTGGGACAAAATAACACCACTTTCAAACCGAAGTGAAAGTCTAATATTACAAATTTCCAAGTTTCTCCAACGGCAGGTCACCAAATATGTAGTTGAAGATAAAAAGACATACTTAATGTACTAAAGCATGTTACCATCGTAAGGAATCCACAAGAGCTGAATTTCAGGGCGATTTCACAAAGTGGTTAGCCAGCAATCTGGCAATCTCAGTGAACACTACTTTATCTTTCCCATCAAAAATGGTCTTCAGCTTGTCATCACAAAAAATTTCCCTCTTGTTGTCAGGATTCTGCAAAACAGTATCTCTATTAAGCCATTTTGAAGAAAGCCAAAACTAAAAAGAGATAAAAGTATAAGATAATAAGTCCCATAATTGGAAGACAAATTACACAAATTGTTACAGAAAAACAAACAATTAAAAAAAAAAAAAGGAAACAAAAAAGGCAGGACTGAAATACCAGCATGAACACAACAATAGTGATCACCAGCTAACAAATGAACAAAATAAACAAACCTCAAAGCTAAAGATATCATTTAGACGCATATTAGAAACCTGCTTTTCAAAAATCATTACCATCTACCACTTTACAAAACCATATCCATCTACCACTTTACAAAACCATATCCATCGCACATGGAAAAGGCTTCAAAAGGGCTGGACCTGTAACGTATCTAGCCATACAATACAAAGACTGACAACACAACTCAAATCCCTGACCTACAAATAGCAGAACAGCAACTATAACCATGGCATCCAGGCTCCCATTTCAAATTATCATTACATTACATAATGATAATGCAATATTATACACCTTACTATGATGCAACAATGTATTTTCTTTTAAATAAACTTTAGGCATAACTACAGGGATTTTAAATGATTCTACGATTTCCCCATAGCAACAACACAGTGAAACCAATATATCAGATAAACCTAATTTGAACAACTCTGCATTTGTTATTTCAAAAATTCATGAAACAAAATCAGGTATTAAAGATACACAAGTTTGATAAGAAATGGCCAGCCTCATTGATGCAACAATACCGTAGGAAGCACAGATATTCATTCAAAATAACTAAACCCTAACCTAGCTTCAAACTACAAGGTTTGATGCAACAATCAACCTCACAAAGTACTTCGATTACATCAAACAATGACCTAATCAAATATCCAGCACAAAATCAATCAATAAAACCTAGTCAAAGTTTTATGTTCAGTGCAAAATAAAATTTCAAACGAGAAATAAAGAGAGAAATTAAAAAACGAAGATCGCAGAGAGAAATGGCAGCATTGACGGGAAATGAAAAGAAGACCTGAAGATTTTGCAGCTTAATGTATTCCCAGACTTTTTTAACGGCTACGGTTCTTGAAACTTGAGGTGAACCGATGAACTTCCCGAGCTCAGAAGTGACCGGAACGACTTTCTGTATACCTCCGCTACCCCTGCTCACGGGCGTTTTCTTCACGACAGTTGTGGAGGCAGCTGCGGCGGAAGCAGCAGTCTTCTTGGAAGCTCCCTTCGCCGCAGCCGCCATGAGCGCTCTGCCAGCAAATGCTCCGAAAACCCTAGCGTGTACCATGATCGATCCGAGAAAATGCTTTTCGTTTTCAAATTTTCTAAAACCCTAGAGAGAGAGAGATTGATTTTCCAAGCTTTAGCCGTTTAGTTCCGTTTCCCGTTTATTGAACTCGATGTCCACTCCGGAACTTTTCGATACTTGTTAGTTCTTACAATTATAGTCGACGTGGCGGTTTTTGATTGGACTCTACTTATACGGTGGTAATTGTAGGGATTGATGTGTATGTTATAGGTTTTATGTGGAATTATGACCAATGGATACTGTTATACAATTCCAATTTCTAATTACCAAAAAAATAAAAAAGATTTTCCCCTCCTTGTGTTTCCCGCTTGTTTTCTTTTTCTATTTGTTTCAAGAGAGTTGTGGATCGTGTATTTTCCAAAATTTGTGTAGGGATGAATTTAATTTTATGTGCGCGATGAATAATATAAATTTACAGCTGTGAACATTCAATAGCTATCCATTTCAAATAGCATGTTATAGGTCTAAATTGTCTATTAACCTATACCTCTAAAAAATATATGTTTACGTTTGTGTGTCTATTCATGATGGATATTTATCCTAAAATTTATTATTTATTAATTGTTTAAATTATTATTTGTGTCTATTTATATTGAATATCGATATTGAAATTTATTAATTACATTATTTGTTCAAATTATTATTAGTGTCGTTATTTTTATAGAACAAATTACATTATTTGTTCAAATTATTATTAGTGTCTTTATTTTTATCGAACAAATAATTATTAGTGTCTTTGTATCTATCACTATCATTGTACTTGAGACGTTCATGTTTTATACCTATCAACGTCTTTTGATTATTAATTTCTCTAAAAAAAAAAAAATCACCTCCAATGGATTCTCCTTTTGTCAATAATACTATAAACTTGAGTTTTTGTGAAAAGGATTTGCTTTGGAATTTAGTTCTAACAAAGATATTGGTAGACCACAAGATAATACTATAATATAACCTCCATTTTAAAATCTATCTTAGGAATAAAGAAAAAATTTATTAACTATTTATATAATATTTTGAATTCGCGCAAAATAATATTTCTGAAACTTTTGTTGAAGATCTTGCAAAAGAAGGCAATTGGCAACAATAAGAGATGGTGTTTCTGAAACTTTTGTTGAAGATCTTGCAAAAGAAGGCAATTGGCAACAATAAGAGATGGTGTCCAACGCAATTTGGTAGTCAACAACAGATGGTGTCCAACGCAATTTGGTAGTCAACAATAGATGCTGTCCAAAACCCAGTTACACGAGCCAGAAATTAAACAAGATTGTTGAAGTTGTGGAAGGATGCTAACACTGTCATGGACGATGATCAGTCACTACAAATGGCAAGAAAAATAAAGACCTCTAGCATCAAGCACTGTCGAAATTGAATGTAAGCAAAAGGAGACCTCAAAATGTGCATTACAGAATGTGGACAATATACACAAATTCTATTGAGTTTGACTTTGAACTACAAAAAAGATGAAATGGACTGATAGAATATGAGGTTTAAACAACAAGATGTGTCCTTGTGGTTCTGTATGATGTGTAGCAAATGCTTGATTTTGATGCCATAAGGATTCTTTCTACTTCCTTTCAATATTCAAAAGGAATTGCCATCTGCCAAATTATGAATGAGACACACACAACACAAGTCTTCATTCTTCGATCACCAAATTTTACACAGACCAAATACGATACAATGTCTGAAGTTTTCATAGACTTGTCAATTCTTATCAAAGGAAGTACATAAATAGGATAGTCAGATAAAGTATCAAACTCACAACAAATGCAAATATCAATGTGGTACCAACAAAAAGAATTGGGTGAAAATTCTACTCGCTACATTTTAACACTTAACAGGGAACGTAACTGGTGTTATTCTTTAATACATACTACAAAAGACAGTCTGGCCACATGTAAACCAAAATTAAAACCACAAAAGAGAACTCAGACCAAAGCCAAATCATACAGTATTTCACAATATAGAAACAGACATGACAACACTAGCTGCATATGATTTTGTAAAGATAAAAAACCTTTAAACGGAACAACTTCACAAATACAGTTACATCTGGTTCTTCTTAATGAAAAGTAATAATGACTCTGGACATATTTGATAAGATAGTGAGTAATGATGGGTATAAGATGAATGCTCAATGCCTCAGCTGTTAGAACAGCAGATTCTAGAAGAGAAAAAAAAAACTATAGTCGGACTTTGACATTTTTCAAATTTGGACGTGTAAATACCAATTTGAAGTTACAAGGAATAATTTCTATGCATAACTGTTCTAGTAGTTTTTGCACTTATAATAGTTGTGATTTAGTTCAATCAAACAAACAAGTAGAAAAATAATGAACCAGCAAACAGGACAGAACACAGAAAAAATAAATATTATTTTGTCAATGGACCACAGGGCAATAGCCAAACTAGTTTCAATACTGAACCTCGAGTTTTGTCATTGGAATACTTTCATGAAATTATCACACAGGATCTCATATAATAAGTAAAACAGAGAAACTTTCAAAATATAACTTAGTTCCTACCTAGCAATAGAAAGGAAAAAAAAACCACAGCGTGCCTCCACTTCCTATTTCTTTTTCCCTTTCTTCTGTGAGCCTTTCCCCTTAGTGTTATCCGTGGAAGAATCCATATTAGTATCCTTGATATTAATCGCACCCTGGCTAAATTTCGGAGACAAAATCATAGCAATCTCGGGAAAACCAACGCTATTTCTGCCACGCAACAGTGTTTGCAAATTCTGCTCCCAAAGCTTGTCTTTCTTAATACCAGGACTCTGCACAGCACCACATACCATTGTTAAATAAGTGCAAATTAATTACAAGAGTAAACTCATTTTAGTCACCCACGGATCACTCCAAACTTAGTTTGAAACTATATGAAAATAATAAGTAATGCGTAAAGTATATGGCATGTTTTGTGAGTGAGAACATTGATCAAACAGTTGGCCTGCATTGAAGAAACCAAGGGAAAAAAGAGGGTAGATGTTGCGGTGGAAATAGGATATCAAATTATTAATTAATTTGAATCACAATTTTTGATTCACAACCGCTCTTTGATTTATCCGAAGGAAAAGGTCAAAAGAGGGAAAACCTATTTTTGCATCATAAACACAATGCGGTGAGAGACCTAGGTAAGGGGTTGGTTAAGCTTAGGGAAGGTACTAGCACCCTAAACTTCTGTAGTACTCTACAGGAACCTTTTGTTTATTGTATGCTTTTTTATTTTATTATTTGTTTGATGTATATATTGAGCTAAGGGATAGAGTGACCTAAAAGACCTAAGGGTTAGTCCTAAGTTTACTCGGCAAGACATCGCATCTTATGCCTACGTATCCTGGATAGGGAATGGAATCAGAGTAATCGTAGTTCCCCTCGAAAGGGAGGTTGGAAACGTCTTGACTATGGTCAAGGTTTCAATGGGGAATAAACGTATCTTAAGGACACGCTTACATGGAGTCTTTGAAACTCCTATTTCTATATTGAATTTGTTAATTGAAAATTTAGGGTTGAAATTAGGGATTCCACGGCGGGAAACCCTAAACAGAGTACGGCGACTCTTTGACCTAATGCTAGGGTAAAGGGCATTTTCGTCCACGGTGGAACACGTAGGCTAAACAGGGTTTGAAATGGTCCAAAGGGTTAAGACTATTGACTCGGCGGTCAAACGGCTAGACCTAATTCCTTCGGAGGAATTCTAACGGTAAAAACATGCAAAATACGATAAATTACTATTCGGCAGAATTAAAGTGCGGAAAAATAAAGAAAGCGGTAAAAAAAAGCATCGCGACGATCACTCGCGTAAATTACAAATTCCCAAAAAATGAAAAATAAAATAACCGCGACCATGGCCTCGCGTAAATTACATTCATGGAACAAAAACGAACAAATGAAATAATAACGAGTAGAAACAAACAAATTAACGAGGGTTAGACAAACATGAAACGGCTAAATCAAAACTTATTTCTTTTTGAGTTTTTTTTTAGAAGAGGAGAGGAGAATTAATTTCATGCTTAAATGGAGAAACTATTATAATTATTTACTAAAAATTTTAATAAAGAAACTGGTTTTAATTTTAATGAAAAAATATCTTGAAAAAAAATATTTTAATTTTATCGAAAATAAATGTTTTAAATTTTAATTAAAAAAATGTTTTAAATTTTAGTGAAAAAATTTGATTTAAATTCAACGAAAAAGGTTTTAATTTTTGTTTTAGTGAAAGAAAGGTCATTTTTTAATTTTTGTGTTAACTTAATGAAAAATGGTTTTAATTGAAAAAAAACTTTAATTAAGAAATACTGTTTTATTTAAAAATATGTTTTTAAATAAAAAATGGTTTAATTTTTGAAAAAACTTTTTAGAGAAAGATCTTAATTTTTAAAAATCTAATTACGTTATGTTTTTTTGTTGAAATAGCTTACCTAAACTTAATTGCATTATTAATTACAAACTACATAGTTAATATAAATGAAAAAAAAATAAACAATTGAATAATAAAATAAATAAAAAATGAAACGTAAATAAAAAGGCTTATGCCGTTTTCTCCATGGATGGCTATCGAAACTTTTCCTCTCCTTCAATTCTTGCATGTCAATGGTTCCTTCTTCTATTTATTCTTCCCATTAATCTACAATCAATGAACAAAACAACACACAAAAATCATAAAATGCCGTAAATCAAAGGAAAGAGAAAGCTTACGGTAACGACGATGATGTTGAACGAACTGAGCCTACGTCGTTGGGACTTTTTGCTCGCCGGTAGCGCTTGGCCGATGATGAATTCAAACCTTTTAGGGTTCTTCCAAAAAAATCCCCTATTCTGATAAATCGTGAGAACGGCCGCCGTTTTTCTCTTTTGTCTCCTTCCCCCTTTTATCAAATGCAACTCATGTTTATATAGGTAACAAATTAGGGTTAACTCTAACCTAATGTCCACTTTAAAGCCCAACTTAAATAATTAGTCAAAGTTAAAAAAAACAAA